CTTTTAATCCCAGCACTTGGGAGGCAAAGGCAAGTGGACCTCAGTGAACTCTAGACCAGCCTTGTCTACATACCAAGTTCCAAGCCAGCTTAGGGCTGCATGAGACCCTGTCTCAGCAACAAATAAGTAAAAATCAAATAGATGGGGGGGCAGTGGGGTGTAGGTGAGAGGACACCCTGTAGGTGAGCGCTCTCTATCCACTGTGGATCCTGAGGCTTGAACTCAGGTCATCAGACTTGTCAGCAATCGCCTTTGTCCTCTGCACCATCTCTACCCACCCTCAATAAAGTTTTTTTTTAAATAAAATCATATTAACAGCTTTCAGCTACTGAGTGTTTGTCTTTCTGGAATTCTGCTTACAGCACCTCCATACGGTTCTGATTTTCCTCAGAGAAGGGGTACAGTCACCTGAAAAGACCACATTTCCCAATCTCCCTACAAGGCAGGTGAGTTCTAAGTTCTGAAAGCCAAGGAAATGTAACGGGGGGGTGGGGTCATTCTGGAAAGCCTCTCCAAGCTGGACTAAGCCCTGCCCTTCCTCACCTTCGCTTCAGTATAGAATGAGGGTTTGTTTACTGTAGCGCCAGCAGCCTCTTGGGATTTAGTGATTTCAAAATAGAAAATTAAGTGCTGCTGACAGAAACAGTGGAACCCGGCTCTCCAATTTCACATCATGATTAGCATTGGACCTCACCACGAACTTTAGGACAGCAGTTCTCATCCTGTGGGTCAAGACCCTCTTTGGAATCCAGAGACTCTTTTCACAGGGATCACATATCAGATGTCTTGCATTTCAGATATTTACATTACGACTCATAACAGTAGCAAAATTACAGTCATGCAGTAGCAATGAAAACAATTTTAGGGTCAGGAGGTCACCACATGAGGAACTGTATTAAAGGGCCCCAGCATTTGGAAGGTTGAGAGGTTGCTCTAGAGAAACAAGCTGCTTTACTAAGTCAGGACGTCTTTGGTACTTTGGTCTCTACTGTATGCCCCCCAACCCAACCAACCCTTACTGACAAGCACCTTCATCAATGCCTGGTACAGTGAGTGCCTCACCGCTAAGACAGCAGATCCTGTGACAAGGTGACAAACTGACCTGAAGTAGAGAGATATAGTCTTCATGCAGCTGCCTGGTTCACAGACATAGCCTGCCACCCAGCGGGTGCTGACTTGGCTTCAGTCAGGAGGGAGTCTCCCATTGACCTGATAATGAGGTTTAGTGCCAATTGTCACCTTAACAGAATCCAACAACACCGGGGCCTCTGAGCATGCCTGTGGAGATTAGCTTATGTTACCTTCACACTGTGGGTGGCACAGGTTCTGAGCCTTAGGTTCTGGACTAGGTCAGTAGAGGAAGAGCATGAACAGCAGCAGCTTGCATCTGCTGCCCTCATCTTCCTGATTCTGAATGCCCCTACCACTTCAACTTACCCACAACTTTGCCCTTGGATGGTGAGCTGAAATAAAGCCTTTTGCCAGGGCATTTTTTATCACAGCAACAGGGGAAGAAACTGAGTAATACTTTGGTTTGAATTGAACTCAATTAACTTCCAATACCACCAAGGCTAGCTGCATATTATACTGAACTGAATAGCACGCTCTGGGAGTGTTATATTTTTGTTACTCTTAATTCACCTAATTCGCACTGTGTCTGTCAGCTCATGCCATCTACTAAGCCATGAAATCCAGAAATGTGGCGACCACAGTCTCAGTTCCTAAGGAGGACCTTCCAGCAGCCCATACAGTCCCAAAGCCTGAGGAAAGTTATGCCCAGACGTGTAAGGCTTCCATTTAGACATGCTCCCTCTCTCAAGAACTGCTGTCCCAGACAGAGCTGGGATAAGGTGCATCTGTGTAGCCAAGTGGCACCTCCCTGTTGTCTGTTCTTAACTGCAAGAATTAAAGAACTCCAGTGTTTCCCTCTCTTCGGATTGCAGTGATTTTTACTATTCTGATCTCCATCTGATCAAGGGAGACCAAAGCAATGTGTGGGACATGCCCAGAAGAAACAGCATTACTGATGCTAGGAACACTATGGCTTGTAAGGCTCCAAGTGGCTAAATGCACCAGGTCCTGGGGTTCCAACCTGCCCTGTAGAGCTGATCCAATTCACCCAAACAACTTGTTACCAATGATCCTCTTCCTAGGTTTGCAGAATCAGAGTTCTCAGCAATGTATCCCAGTAATGTTGACGTTGTTAAAAAATAAACACCACACACACACACACACAGCTAATTCTAATAGCAGCTTGTAAAACTACTATACTAGAAACAATTGTAGCCTTGTGCCTGGAGAGATGGCCATATAAGCATGAGGACTTGAGTTCAGATTCCCAGAATCCACCTGGTGCTGTAGCTCACATCTATAACCTCAATTCATGCAGAAACAGGATTCCCTAGAGCTCACGTGCCAACCTAGCAAAATGAGTGAGCTCCATTCCCAATGAAAGACCCTGTCTCAAAAAAGTAAGTTGGAGACCTGGGGTGGTGATGCACCTCTTTAATCCCAGCACTCAGCAGATAGGAGGCATAATAATAATAATGATAATAATAATATAATAAGTGGAGAGTAATTGAGGAAGACTTCTGGCCTACACACACATACATTCAATCCTACACATCCACGCACACATACATCCATATTCCCTCCCCCTTCCCCACCCACACAGGTTATATCCATGGAGAAATGAAGAGCTTCTATGTGCTGTAGTAAGGGTTTATTTGTTTTCCAAAAAGAAAGAGACGGGACGGGAAAAGTCATTATTAGTAGTTAATACTTTTAGGGGCACTTGGGTATATATCTCTTAGATCTCTTAGATACCTATAGGCAATCAAATGAGACAATTCCAACAACCAAAGCCACCCTCTCCTGCCACCACCTGAATCCTCCCACTAGATGGCAGACACACACCAGACTCTCACATAGTTTAGTTTAGCCATTCCTAGCAGTTGAATTCAGTTTCCCTTTAATCCAGGAACACAGACACATTCCTAGCACACTTCACAGGTCTGTTTTAAGGACAAGTGAACACATGACTAACACCGGAAAAGTTAGATGTGGATTTACAGCAGGGGCCAGATACTGCCGAGGAAGCAGAGCTCCTGTGAACATCCATGAGTGCAGGTAAGATGTCAGGTCATGCTGGTCTGCCCCTGCCAGGAGTCAGGACTCAGCACACAGTGAACCCCTTGCCAGCTCCCTCCTGGGCAACAGGTCACGATAAGGACAATGCCCAGTGGAATGTTCTGCCTCTGACTGCCTCTGACTGAGATGTATGTACCAGGGCTTGGTCCTGTGTCAAATGGGTTCCCACAGCTATTTTATTTTAGCTCATGGTTTACTGAAAGTGTATGTAAGCACACACACAGGAATAAACTAGGATCTAGCATGGTGTTGTTTGGTTTTGCAGTGTTGGGGACTGAACCTAGACCTCTTGCTTATGCTACAAGGTGCTCTCATACCGAGGTGCATCACCAGCACAGAGAACACCCTCATTAAGGGGTGTTCATTTGAGGGGTAGGGAGTATCTGAGACAGGTTCTTAGTATGTGGGCCAGGATGACTTCAAACTTGCCATTCTCCTGCCTCAGTTTCTCTAGAGTTGGGGCACAGATATGTGCTGTCACATCCAACCTTTAAAAGTAGCTGTAAACTCCAGTCTCTTGAAGCCGACACTGTCATATATCCCAAGACCCATTTTCTACTTTTTGTATTCACAGCTTTTAAGCAAGCATGAAGTTTTCTGCAAACCTGCCCCAGTAATGTCTTCATTAAAGCTGTGCTAGGTTGGGGTTAGAGATGGCTCAACAGTTAAGAACAACGGCTAGGAGGCTCACAACCATCTGACTCCAGTTCCAAGGGATCTGACTCCCTCGAGGGCAGCAGGCACACAAGTATTCCATAGATACACATGGAGGCAAAATACCGGGTACACATAAAAATAATTTTAAAAAGCAGCAGCACTGCCCACCAGGGTAAGAAGGGGCACTGCAGAGAGAGGCTCCTGTTGAGGGATCTGCCCAGTTCCTACATGGGATGGCCTGCGTCAGCAAAACAAATGGAAAGATGGGATCAGCAGAGATACAGATGGAAGGACTAAGGCAGGGACTCTCAGGAGCTGCAAAGAGCACAAGTCAATTCTGTGCGAACCCCTGGTGGTACATGACGTCAGTCTTTATAAACTAGAGACAATTGAGTGTGACAGCATTTTAATTCCAGTGCTCACGTAATGGGAGGAGGGTCTCTTTGAGCTCAGAGGCCAGCCTGGTCAACATGGCAAGTTCCAGGCCAGCCAGGGCTATATAGTAAGACCCTTGTTTCAAAATCCACCCCCAAAAAACAAACGAGAATAGAAAGGCTGGAGACGGCTCACCAGTTGGGACAACTTACTGCTCTTCCAGAGGATCTGTGCTGGGGTGCCAGCGCCCACATGGTGGCTCCCAACCATCTGTAGCTCAGTTCCAGATCCAGCACTTGCTTCTGGCCTACTTGGGCACTACATGCATATAGCATACAAATACATGCAAACACTAATGCACACATATCTTTTAGAAAAGATAAACACATGCCCTCACTCATTCAAAGTGAGTTATAATTAACGCATATTCCTTCCACTACACACAACTTCGAATTATTCCATTTAGGGCTTTGTTTTCACTTTCAACATAGAGGTCTGGGAAGGCAAAAGAGGTAGAGGCTATACCAACGACATCAGTGAGAACAGAGCCAGTATTCCAAGAGTTACAGCCTCCCGGAAACCGTGGCCCAGTGGCTCACATGATAGACAGTGCGGAGGTAAGTAACATTAGGAGAACCCAGTTAGGGCCTGGAGTCTGCTCCACACACATCCCAGGACCAGGAGGCCCACACACAACACAGCAGGCTATAGGCAACCAACCACACTTCCTCAAGAAATGCAAGGCCCAGCCCTCCCTCCGTCCACCACTGAGTTCTGCCAGCAGGCCGCTAACCAGGCACCACAAAGAGGTCGTTGGGTAGTTTTTGCTTTGTCTTTATTTACAACAAAGTACACAGGATGTGGTCATTCCATAGCACTAACAAAGGTAGGGCAGTAAAAAGCAAAGACGGGAAGAGACAGCATCTTCTAGGAAAAGAACAGTCTAGGTCTAGTCATTCACCCCCACTCCCCAGGCAGGCCTTGGTAGGAGCTCACTGCCTGAGAGCAACAGGAAGCCGCTCTAACGTGTGCCTGGTACTACGAGAGGAGAGCAAAGCAGGCCCCAGAGCCAGACTCTTAAGGGGGACTTGGGCACACCAGACACATCCATTTGTGCCTTTCCCAACCCTCTCTTCCTTGTTATGTCTGACACAATTTGCATTGGGCCACCTGCCCGGCAAAGGTGACAGGGAAGGCCAGCAGGTCCTTCCTTCCCAGAAGCACCAGCCTGTATATACCCAGGGCTGACCCTAGCCTCACCACAAGCAGCCCAGTGAAGAACATTTCCCTGCAAGAGGCGTGCGGTCAGCGTGGACTATTCTCTCTACTTTCGCCTACTCAAGGGTACAGCTGACCCAGCTGCGTCCCAAGACACAAACAACCCACCCTGGGTAGAGCAAACTGGAGGCAACTTCCCCAGGATCTGACTAGCCACCATTACGAATATTAGTTCTGAGACGGGTGACTTGAACAACCCACTCCCGGGGGCCTACTCTACCCACCCCTTATCAGAGTCCTATCATTTTTCACAGCAGCCTCTGGTTACCCAAAGTCACAGCCAGCAGAAGTTGCATTAGCATGAAGTGTGACACAAGGCTTAGAAGTTTGTCTCCTAAATACTCAGGCCAGAGACAGTATTGGAGCAGGGAGGCGGAGGCGAGCACCACCGGGTGGCTCTGAAGCCCAGAGATTTTTGCACCTGTGAGCAATGTTGCTCAGCGCCGCTCAGCCATGCTTCCTCTCTGGGCAGCTAAAAGTTCTCAGATGACAAATGTCATGGTTTCCTAATAAGTTTACCTCCAACTCAAGTTCAAGGGCACAACTAGTCAAAAGCTGAGCAGCCTCGGAGCAGAAGAACCTCCATCCCTTCCCTGCCCCCAGCAAACACTGCTTCTAGCCAAGCCAGAATTGCTTACAGTTTCCCCAGGAGGCAGGGATACGGTAGTCCTAAAAAGCTGTGTCCAAGCTAGGCATGGGCTGCTCAGATTCCTGGAGGGCATGGTCCCAACACCATAGGTAGATGAGAAAGCGGCTAAGTAAAGGCTCAGAGATGAGAAGAATCCATTTTCCACGGCAGTAGGGTAGACAGCCAAGGCACTAAGTGGTTTGGCACCTGGGAGCTTCAAGTAAAGTTGAGCGTGCTACCCACTAAGAGGCCAAGGCTCTTGCAGACAACAATGCGTTTCCCATGAGCACATGCAATTCCAGCAAGGCCAGGGCCCCTGCCCTTGGGATCCCAGGCCAGGCCCTAACCTACCTTTTATCTCAGAATTACCATGGATGTGAAGTTGATGTGATAAAGACTGTTCCCCAGACACTCTAGGATGCATCTGTCTGGGTGAGTGTGTCCTCTCCCACAGGTACCTAAGCTGAACGCTCCCTGCTCCAGAACATTTGCCATCATGGGAATTTGCTGGGGAGTCTGCACCATGGCCTCCTGATAGCCTCAGGAAAAGTAGCAAAGCTCTACTGAGGACTAGGTTTATGTCTTTTAAATAGAACAACGGAGTGGGAGGCCAATTTGAATCCTGGTTGGGGAACTGGACGGCACTCAAACAGGGAGGGAACTCACTCAGCGTGGTTGGATAGTAACGGAGTAAGAAGCTCACTGGGCCCTGATAGCCACCTGGGGATGAGGCTCCCGAGTGTCCAGGCAGAGTGACTATAAGCATGTGGCCCCCAAAGTGCAGGATGGTGACCATCAACACGACAGTCCTTGGCTCCTCTACACTGGGCCCAGACCAAGGCCCCGTCTCATTCACACCTGTCTCTTCTTGCTTGGTCCCTGTTTCCTCCAGCTCTCTTCGCAGCATGGCATCAATCAACTTCCTGCACAAGCAAGAGCTCCTACTCAAAAGGAAGTGTTCGGGAAATCTCTACCTCAGGCGTCTTCAATATAAAACCCCAGCTTAAGTACCCATGATTTAAATACCCTCCCTTCATACCCTCTAAGAAATGCTTCCCTTCTCCTAGCCCCTTCCTTCCAGGCAGCCACCATACTCACAGGTACTTCAGGAAATCATCCTGAATCAACTGCTCAAGAGAATCTCAGGTTGGAGGCACAGATATTCCTTATCTCACTGTACAGCCCCAGCTCAGAAGAGGTGGAACTCCCTGGTGGCATCCTCCTGTGAAGGCCTGTCAGTGGTCAATACCAGACATCCTTAACCAAAGCCCAGACTGCAATGAGCCACTCCATATTTAAAAATGTCCAGGCAACCTGACCAGTCACTTCCCTAGGAGGCAATTTTTCCTTAAACATGCTAAAGGACATAGTCCCACCCCTCCCTCCTCCTCTCTCTTTTCCCGCAGGATGAGGCCCTGTAAGATCCACCCCCCGGGAAAGCAGAGACAACTCTGGCTTCCTGGGAAACAGAGACAGCAGAGGAAGGAAGGCGTCACGGAGCCACCCAGGCAGCCAGAGCCAGAGTGAAGCAAGAAGAAATGCAGACAGATTGTTCTTCCTCAGTGGGCCTCTTCCCTGAGATTGACTTTTTGAGTTGAGATCACATTTAATTTCAACTCAAAAAAAAAAAAAAAAAAAAAAAAGTATCTCTCTCGGCTCCAGTTTCAAGGAGGGGACATCTGTGGGGGACGGGCTTTAGAGTTGAGGCCCACGATGCAGAGAGCAAGGGACATCAACCAATCAACCACCCACTCCCGTGGCTCCTCAGAGCCCTGCTGAGTGGGGCTCCAGGCCCAACGCCCACACACAGGTTCCTGCAGAATACTTATGGCAAACAGCTTTACAGTATTTGTACATTTACACAAAAATAGATCCTTTTATATATGTATATATATGTGTGTGTATGTGTGTGTGTGTGTGTGTATGTATATGTGTGTGTGTATATATATATAACTGGTTACACGTTGGATTCATAATTAGGCATCACCAGTAGTAGTTGGCACAGTTTGTCACTTAAGCTCAGGGTCAAGTTCTGTTCGATTTGCTGTTCCAAAGTACAAAAAAGGAAAACAAGAAAATCAAGGCATTTCATCTCCGCGCTGCTTTCTTAAATACAGTAATTTCATAGGAGGCGTATGTACAGATGACCAAAGCCTCTCGACCCTCCTGTGTCTTGGAGCTGGGGGCTGGGATTTGGAGTCAGGGCACGGGGGTCAATGTGGCCGGCTGCTGGATTCCGATGCCTGCCTCTTGCGTGAAGGGGTGTAGCCGTTGAGATAGCCATTGGTCTGCCGCTTGGAGAGCCCTCCATTGAGGATGTCCTGGATGTGCTGCACGATGAGGTTGATGGCCACTGTGGGGCAGAGAGCGGCAGTGTTAGGAGAATGGGGAAGGCATTCTGTGTGCGCAGAGCTGTGAGAACGTGGTCTGTGTGTATGGAAGGGCACACAGGAACCAGAGACACCAAAGACTTCCAGGAAGGTGGCCCTGATCCTCCAGAGTCAGTCACCTGACCTTTCAGAGCCTCTAGCTGGGCTCACAGGACCTCCTTTGTGAAGTGTGCTAAAAGTAAGACCCAATGAATGGACATTCTGCTAGTTAAGAGTCCCCACTGGATAAAGGCAAGCAACCCACAAATGTGTAGATATGACTGGAGATGGTTTTAACAGCACCAGTTACCTCTAAGTCCCTTTTATTAAGCATTTATCAACTTCTGTTCCAAACAGGGCAACAATACAGAAAGTCCTGCCTTCCCATAGAAGGGTGAACTGCATTAACATCAGAAACAAACTTAGTACACCTCGGCCAACAGACCAATGCTAACAACACCAACAAGGAAGGCGTGCGTGCGTGCGTGCGTGCGTGAGTGCGTAGGGGTAATGTGTGTGAGTGTATATAGGGAAGCTACAGGAAGATGTCAGGTATGTACTTTTCTGCTGCTCTCTGCCTTATTCCTTTGAAACAGAGTCTCTCACTAAACCACCAGGAGACAGACTGGCACACAAACCCCGGTGGTTCTCCTGTTTCCAGTCCACATAAGTACTAGAGTTACACAAAGACCCAACCATCCCAGGACTTTGGGATTTGGGGGGTTTTGTTTGACAAGGGTCCCACCATGAAGCCCTGATTGGTCTGGAGCTCACTATGTAGACCAGGCTAGCTTCGAACAAGAGAGCCATCTGCCTTTGCCTTCTGAGTGCTAGGATTAAAGGTGTACACCATCATTCCTGGCTCTCAACATTTGGCTTTAAACATGGGTGCTAAGATCCAAACCCGGGCTCTCATGCTTGAGAAAGTGCTCTTACCCACTGAGCCGTTCTCCAGTCCCAAACAACAAAGGATGTGATTTACAAACACATCATGAGGCAATTCTCCTGTGATACCCTTCTAGACTGTAAGCTAAGCTTAGGGCCACGAAACAGCAGGCCCACATACTCTTGACAATGTCAGTGTGGTGAAAACCTAGCGCAGGCTGGGGGGTATACCCAGGAAGAAGAAATCAATAGTACATTCCCTGAGCTTGCCTGTAAATGAGAATGTCCTGCTTCCTTAAAACATACAGTGGAATGTCTGCTGCTGTGATAAACACTCAACGCAGCAAACACACTTTTTAAATGGAAGACAACGAAAATATGAGGTCCACTCCTATGCAACAGATTCAGTCAGCTACACTAGGTCAAGGCTGTGGACAGCCATTGCTTCCTAGACATGTCAGACACATGAAGACCACTGTAATGACGCCGTTGAGAAGGAGCACAGCATTCTACCCCAGATTAGAAGGACGTTCACCTGCACTCAAAGGTGGTCTTGGATACCAGGTGTCATTACAAGAGTGGCACCTGAGGGAGTCTGCAGTCCTTCATTTCCCTAATTATGTCTGCCCCCAAACATGGATATGCATATGATCAAGGATCTGTTCCCAAGACTAGATTTGTAGACAGAAATGCCTTTCTGACTCTGTCACGGATTACAAGACCCTGTATGGTCACGTTCTGCCCAATGTGAGTAGAAGGTATTGACCACAGGAGGTCACCCCACTGGCACTCACCAAGATTGTCTGCACCTCTAGGAATGATCACGTCGGCATACTTCTTTGTCTGTGGAGATAGATATTTACAACACGTTAAGAGGGGCATCCAGGAACAAACCCGAGCCCCTCTCTCCAATGGCACAAGTTAAGGGCCGGCCAGCTCCTGGATGAGGGAAGACCCAGCCAGCTGCCGGCAACAGCCTGAGGCTTTGAATGCAATACTACAAAAGGCACCTAAAAACAAGAAGAGGCCTAAGAAAGTAATTTTCATGGCTAAAATATAAATATTAGAAGTAAGAGGATGAGAAAAGGAATGAAGGTTTTTACTTGTCAGAGGGAAAGTGGTTCCCACTAAGCGGATGACTCAAAACCAATTCATAACCCAATGCTCTCTGCATGCCCACCCCTGGTGTCTACTTTATATCCACATTATAAAGCCAATTTTCCCCTGAGTACTTATTACTAATGCCTAACATCTGCTTCCACCAGGACCTGCAGAGATGATGGCCTTAAAACGAGACATGTTAAGTGTCTCCACCATCAGGAATAATATTAATTACAAAAGCCAATCACAAAGGGCTGGAGACTAGCTCAGTGATAGAGCTCTTGCCTAGTATGATTAAGGCCCTGGGTTCCACTGCCAGCACCGACAAAACAAAGCAACAGCCACTACAAATTTAAAGGGGGGATCCGTTTACCTCGAGTTTTTAAGAAGCCTGAAGGGTTCTTAAAAACTCAGCTCTCAGTTAAAGCCAGAAAAGGCACCTCCTGGTGACCAGCACCATTACAATGTGTTGGGGGAAGTCCTGTGCATTTGTCAATAAAGCACTGTTGGGCCAATAGGAATCTAGATAGGTGGGACTAGGAGTCCAGGAGGACTCTGGGAAGGGAAACATGGAGAGTCAAGATGTAACACCATGGGGTAGGAATCCCGGAACTATTCTCCGGTAAGAGAAATACTTAGATTAACAATTATGGGGTTATTACTTAAGTCAGAGCTAGCCAGTAAGAAACAAGCAAGGCCAACAGCTTCATAATTAATAATATAGCCTCCTGTGTGTTTATTTGGGACTGATGCAGCTCTGGAACCAGGCTTCTCTCAAGGAAAAGGCTCCCTTTTACAACAATGCAAAGTAAAAAAAATTTTTTTAAGTGAAACCATGCTCCTTGTGTTACTTTTTTTTTTTTTTAACTGAAATTCCATGACCCATACTGGAAGTAAATGTCCTGGAATATGCCCCCAGTTCTTCATACATGCCATGAGTAGCTCGTTGTATGCCTGGGCACCCTCAATTCCTCATGACTATTGGCCCACAGTCATGTCAGCCTCAGAACCAGACCTTTTTCAGTCCCAACTATGGGAAATTAACTGGTCTTCCCTGAGCGAAGAGCAGCTGCACAGTGGGATGGAGCACAAACATTCCAGCAAACATTTGGTCAGAATCTTCAGCCGGCCTACAGCTGAGTTAAACAGCAGAACATGTCGGTATGGCTGGTTCTCAATGGTGAAACCCCCTTGTGTTCTCAGTAAGTCAAAACAGAGTGGGAAGGTGTTCAGGTAAACAGATGAAAAGAAATTTCACCATCCCTTAGCCCTGGGAGCCCTTTCCCAGAAACCTGATCTTGTAAGCTAACCTTCAACAGGGCAACAGGTGGCTGACTCAAAGCCCACAAGTCCCTCAATGAAAACCAAAGGCCTCCTAACAGATGGAAGCAGGTGTGCTGAGGGTTACCTTCCCCAGGAAAGAACCAGCAGTAATTTTATTCTAAAGACCTTCCCAGATGGATTTCACCCAAAAGCCAGCCTAAGTCCCAACTTCTCCCTCTTAGTTATAAATCATAAAGGCTTGCTTAGCCAGACCTGAGCCTGCTCAGCAGGGAGGACACGGTGAGTCAAGATTCTCCTAGGTCAAATATTTCTTTCCAAACCATCTTCCTTATCCTCTTCCCTCCTCACAATCCCACATCACACCCCGGGTCTCTCTCTGTCAGCTTCCCTTCACAGTACCCTATTTGGTCTTTCCTGGGGAGATGTGTTTCTCTGGCTAATTATTAGCTGGGAGTCATTCCCCCCCTTCGCTCTCAGAAAGCCATCTCACTAGGGAACTACTCGAGACGGGGGTGGGGGGTGGGGGGGTAACAGCTGTGCCAGAAGGGAGGCAGGAAGAGGATTTCAGTACAGTCCTGCACTTCCCAAATCCAGAGGCCAAGAAGAGGTTTCAAATGAACGGCCTGCAGCAGTGCCTCCCCTGCACCAGTACTCTGACCTTCCAAAGCTTCCAGCGGCCTGAGGTCTATCTCAGGCTAGCTTCTGGGCAGTCTGACAGTCTTCCCAGGCAAGAAATGCATATCACGCTGGGAGATGCACAGACCTCGAGTGGCCTGAAGAGATGGCAGGACAGAACCTAGCATGCCACCTCTTGGGACTTCGAGATGCTCGCTCAAGAGAGGAGTAAGATTCAAACTGGGGAGACCCCAGCAACCTACAGGCTTTTAAATCTATCATGAAGGAACTAGAAAGATGGCTCAGCATCTCTCTAGATGATGAGAGTTAAGTGCTCTCACAAAGGACCCAACATGCACAGGCCAGGTAACAACCATCCTTAAACTCCACTTCCAAGAGGATCACACGCCCTCTCCATGGGTACTACATGCATGTGGTGTACAAACATACACAGGCAAAAACACCTATACACATAAAAGAAAAACATGCATAAAATAAACTTAAAAAGATTAAATCATTAAATGTCAAGATACATTTAGCAGAAACAAGGAATACAACTCACTGGCAAGCAGAATTCCTCAAAGGCAGGCTTCACGAACGTGATGTACTGAGATAAAATCTGCTCAAGGTCCCTGCCTCTTTCGCTGATGTCCCTCAATACTATAAGAGAAGGAAAAACAAAAATCAAGAACACAGTGCATGAGGTAGGTACACCAGACTCCTGCAGGTCACCCAGCTGGTTGAGAAGTCAGGACTCCTTTGAGACTCACACTAGGGTGGGGACAGCAAAAGATTCAGAAAAAAAAGTTTCATGAGTCTCGCTACCATCAAATTCTACTACAGTATGTTTCCCTAACAGAAACGGCTGCCTGGTCAAGACGAGCAACCTTCCTGTTTGAAGCAAACAAAATTTCAACATGAACCAGCAAAGATCAGGGCATCCCCGGAGAGTCGTGACAACAGGGAACAGTGGCACCAAGCTGCAGAATGCTCACCTGTGTTCCCAAGTGAGACCCACAGCTGTGGGGTCAGCTAGCCACCCAACTCTCCCAACCTCTCATGGGTGGGCAACCCGTGTGGGGAAGCTCTTTCTGCTCTGCTAGGGCACATAAGTTCACAAATAGAAAACTCTTTAATGAGAAAACCTCACTCTAGGTTATTGTTGGCCAAAGCAAGGAGGAAGCCAAGAAGGACCCTCATCTACCATCTTCCTTCAGCATCTCCTAGTAAGGGGCCTGCAGCAAAGACAGTCAGTTTTAAGGGCGAGGGCATCCTGCTTCTGCCTCTGTGCCCTGACCTCCCTAAACCTCAGTTCCCCTTGGTGAAGTGAGCTCGCAGGACATCCTGGAGGTCCTGCCAACTGACGGAACCCTCTGCACAACTGCTGCTTCAAAGTTTATGATCAATCTGCAAAGTTTTCATGGTATCCCCAGAGATTACCATATCAGGTAACAGACTCAAATCTCTGAACACAAACATAGGGAGTTTTTGTGAATGTGATTTCCGGAGAGCCTTGCTGCTAAGTAGGTGTGTGTGTGTGTGTGTGTGTGTGTGTGTTGTACGTGTGTGTGAGCACGCGCATGTGCGTGCGCACACTTGAGTGCCTACACTCAGGAGCAGTTCCTCCCTGCAATCAGGTGCTGCTCGGAGTGCTTCTTGCTGGGTTTGTTTCACAAGGCATACTTTTCAGAAAGCTACTGGCTTTAGCACCCTGGAAAGATTTGCCCTTCTCTCTATGGCCATGTGTGGGTACACCCCACACAGACCTCCTGCTGCCCACAGACCAAACCAGATAATTTCATCTATTATAAGAGAGGCCAGTGGGTCACACAGTCAGCTCCAGGGGGAAGTGACACAGCAAGACTGCTTGGCTCTCGCTATCTAATGAGTATGGACCTGAAGGAAAGTGACCTAGATTTGAGTCTTGTCCCCAGAAACTCCTGTTCCTGTGACCTTAAGCAAGTGAATTATCCTCTTTGAATCTTCACTTCCTTAAACAAAAAGTAGACAAAGAGCATCACATTCATAACTGGGGGGGGGGGTGTGGGAGAATCTCATGCAGCCTGAGCTGGTCTTGAACTTAAGATACAAGCTGAACACGCCCTTGATCTCATACTCCTTCCACTGTGCCCAGTTTCTATGCAGTGCTGCTGGGAGAGCAAACCCAGGGTCTTGTTCATGCTAGGCAAGCAATCTACAAACTGAGCATCACCCCCAGCCCTGATGAAGCTATTTAAGAAGACAAGGAGGTACAGACCATCTCCAGCATGGCGGCTGGCACACCTCCTACACCAACTGCAGCACAAGCACAAACGGGGGGTCTGGGGGGGCACTCACTCCTGACAGGAAGATCAGTCAATGTGAGGAGGACAAGGTACACGGGAAGGAGTGGGCACAGGAACCCTGCAAAGGTGTAACAAGGTTCAGGAGTGGCCAGCAGGATACAAACACATGCAGTGATATGTTTAAAAGGGACAGCTGGGAAAGAAAGAAGATCACATCAAAGAAATGGGTCCCAGGCACTGGAGCCATGCAGCAACAGAAAGCACTGCGAACCCTTAGGATGCTCCATGGCCACGGGCCAGCCAGCTCACTGCATTTGAAACACGCTGCTCCTTAGGTACTCACTGCCAGGAAGCAAGGTCACGCCAAGGGCTGAGTCAGAACGAGATCTTGGCACAAACGGAAAACTCAAAAAAACCCAACACCTCCACCCTACCTCCACACCATCTCAGCCTGAGCCCTACACGTGTGCTAGGCAGGATGGAGTCATTCCCAAAGGACGAAGTAATGGGCAGGAAGCTACAGGTTTGCCAGTTCCCTGCCTGGCCGCCTGGCCCTTCCATATCCAGCAGTGCTCACAGTGCTCCTCCAGCTCTAAACGCCGCCCCCCACTCTTCCCGGTCCTGATGCTTAAGAGCAGGCAGAAGCAAAGGCAGAGAGGGAAGCACTCGGGAAACTCGGGTACTGAGAGCAGGGGAATCGGGGTCTGAGCGGCACAGGCACTGCACGGTGCCAGGGCCAGTTCCTCCCTTATTGGCGTGTTAGAGTTGTAAGACTAGAAGGTTAGGAGAGATGGGTGGGAGCATGGCACTCAATTCTCTTGGAATGTTCCCCAGCCCTGTACCTATAACTGTTTTCTACCTACAACTGTTAGGGACGGTCCCCTGCCCTGTACTCCACCAAGCATATGTCAAGCATATTTTTTGTCCTACCTGGACAGAAGGAACTTGTAGAAATAAAAGGCATATAGGAAACCCCACGAATCTACCAGCAAAGTGGCTTGACAAAAAGAGACTTGTTAAGAACATCTGAAATGAGGAGGCAGCAATCTGCCCAGACAATAAGGGCCAGATAGACAGTGGCCACAGAACCACCACCCCCCACCCCTGGGGGTAGGAGTGGGGGAGAGAGCTGGGTACATACACCTTTAATCTCAACACTTGGAGGCAGTTCGAGGCCAACCTGGTCTACCCTGCCAGGGCTACACAGAGAAACCTTGTCTCAAAACACAAGTTCCACATTATTTTAAGGATTTCCCTTACTCCTATAAAGATCATCTTCCATGCCAGGCCAAGAACAGGAAGAAGGCTGCTCTGCTTAATCTGCACCATGATGAGCTGATTGGAGTTAGAAGCCAAGACCTACTCTACTGCCAAAGACTTTACAACTACTCCAAAAATTCCCTAGAAGCTGTCTTTTCTACCTCCTCTGACATCTCTTTAGGATTGAGTCTCACTTGTTAGACTAATCATCAGTCAGTAGAGAGAGCCCAGACTGCTGGGGTCAGACTTTCCAGAGGCCCAGCCATGCTGAGGAGAAAAAGATACCAGTCCCTGAAAGACAGCAATTTGTCAAGCAATGCCCCTGATCACCTCTCATCTGTCCCTGGAGGACTAACTCCTGGATTATGTGATAGAAAAATAAGGTTCAGAGATTAAAACACAACTTGCCCAGGGCCACACATCCAATAAACAGCGAAGCTGGAATCTTCACCCATTTCACCTGGCTTTGAATTTTTTCTTAATACAGAACACTGCCTCTTTAACTTGGCAACCATCGGGGACAATGACCCAACAAGCAAGGAAAGGGTTGTAGGAAAGGGGACAACCTGGGCACTGGGGCAGAATCATGGAAGTTGGGGGCTTCATAAAGAAACACAGCACAGGTGCACACTCAGAAAGGCCTGCCAGGAAATCTGCCTCAGGACTGGAAAGAGAGAATGAGCATACAATATAAGCAGATGGCAGAACAAGGCATCCGGCGCTGCAGGCACGGGGGTCCCTGTCCCCAGATGCCCTACAGTTACTTCCAAGACCAAGGCATCTTTCTTTGATGCCTCATGAGAAAAAAACATTTAACTAGACTATTGCAAAGGAAACTCGACTTATTTCATCTTAGTGACCTCACAAGCCTTTCTTTATCTAAACAGTAAAGTGACTAAGCCCTTCCTAAATGTCACCAAACACTGGGTGGCAGGATGTCCTGGGGTTGGGCTAATACAACTGGGCCAGGTCACAGCCACATAGCTGCACAGGGGAAGGTCCAGGCTTCAGACTCAGGAGGACACATGCTTCTCATGGGCTCCCACCATCTGCTCCCCAGATGGCCATCAAATAGGTGAAGTTTACATGAACGCACCTCTGCGAGAGAGACGAGTGTCCGCATCTGTGTCCACAAAAAGCTTCATCTGGAACAGGTCTCGAACCTCCTGGGAGTAGAAGGCCAGGATCCCTTCAAAGAGCACCACATCTGCAGGGTAGACAGTGACCGTCTCCTCCTTCCTGCAGAGCACAGAGCATAGATGGACTAAATGGCCACGGAGCCAGGTGTACACAAACCAGTGATGGACTGAATGGCCAGGGAGCCGGAGTGACAGCAAGGGTCCCAGCATCTGCTGGGTTCTCTCCCTCTACAGACCTAAAGAGTAGAGGAGCCTGGCTCCAAGGCCCTGAGGCCCCAGGCCACCGCCATGGAGACGAAGGCATTAAGAAGACTAGGACTTGCTCTTCTGAACTTCCTGCATAAAGCAGAAAGATTAGGCACCATCATTCTTTAAATAAAATCTATGTCTAGTTTACGATCTCCTGTGTATCCCATCTACCTGCTGCTCTGTGAGCAGGCCACTGTGTGCCTACATGGGTAATGATCATTTCCTCTAGCTGCCTGTACATGTGGACAAAATATACAGGAGACAGTAAACTAGGCATTTTGTTTCTACAAAAGCAGGTGTGACTTCTAGTTTCTCTGAAGGCTTCTCCAGGAATGGTGTCGTGCCTGGCACTTCTGCAACTTAATTTAAGTATCAGATATTCAGTTCTTCCTGTACAATTCCACCCACTCCACCATGCCTGCAGCAGCTTAAGAGGAAACAAAGGGAAGAGGTAGGGAAGGGGAAGGAGAAGTTTTGGAGGATAGTGAGAAGTTCAAAGTTCGAATTCTCTGTTCACCTCTTCCTTATTGACAGATAATTCATTCACTCAGGGTTGGGCAGCCCAAGGCAGAGCCTAGTGTAAATATAACTTTTCAAAAGCCAGGTGGGTGACATATTGCAAAATGGTCATGGGATGGGTCCCTCACAGACAGGCCTGCTTGGGGCTTCTCTGTCCCTGCCCCTGTCCCCCTAACCCTGCAGTGCAATTCTTCACCCAACACCTCCTTACAGGCCCCTACTGCCTCTCATTGTGGTAACTCTCTAGAGTTCATGATTGCCTAACCAGCAAGCGAGTTAACATTCGCAAACTATTTTAAGCTCCTTAAGCAACAAAAGCTCTCTATGCAAACACGGAGAGGTCGGCAGAACAGCCCACAGAAGAGGATACTGTCCTTCCAGAAGTACCCTCCAACTGGGTTTGTATCCAAGTCTCAAATGAGCACTACTGCCTCCTCCGAGCAACCTGGCTGAACTCCTGGTCCCACTCTACTCCTGTAAGCTTTCCTCCCTCCCACAGGCCCATTTCTTCCTCCAGCTGTTCTAAGTCCTTCCCTGAAGGTGGAGGGAAAGCCGTTCATTGGAGTGTCTCATCACTGGACACCGCCACCTCCCTCCAAGGCAGACAACTTGCCCAGGTCTCCTTCCTGCTGGGATCCAGGTTGCACTGCTGACAAAGACTCAGAAGATGAGGAGGAAAACCCACAATGTACAAAGACAGTAACAGAGGGACACAGATGCTTTGAAAACACCCCAGAGGCTGGAAGCCACACTTGGAGCCTTTTTGTACTTTTCCATGAACTTCAGCATTGGGTCTAGTGGTCAGTTTTGAGACTTGTTTCTCTTCCAAATCTCCACTCTCTCAGCCCTTAACATGAAGCACAACCCCAATTCTCACAGCGGACTCCATTATTCCTGCACAATCCTTAGGGGTTCGGTAAAACAGATACATTGAGCATGATGCTAGGAATTACTTTTCTCTGAGTCCCCCCACGGGAGACACTAGTGAGGGAACAAGACAGTCCAACCCATGCATCTCAAAGCACCCTCACCCTCTCATCTTCCTCCTCTACCCCAACCCTTGCAGCACCCTCAAGTTCTGGGTTATTTGAAAGACACAGGCTATGTGTGCACTTGAACTAAGGGCGGAGACACGCAGAACAGGATAATGTAGAGGCAGGGACTAGGTTTAAAAAGACAAGAACATCTTGTAAGAGATAAACATTATGAGATCTAATTTCCTATTTTAAAAGTATTCAACTCAAGGGAGAATGAAAAGCCAGCATGAGAAATGTTTGCAACTGCCCAGAGATAAGGACGTTTACTGAACCACTAGAAGCCCAGGTAAAAGGAGCCACACCTGGGAACAGGCTGCCTAAAAGAGCAACTTGTGGCTGCAGAGTCAAGAAGTGGTATGTTAACATGCTCTGAAGACTCACATCTGACAAACAAGCATCTCTGTTCCCTAACTTATTCTAGACAAGGGCAAGTTCGGAATCTACCCATGCTCTAGGGTTCCTAGGGGAGGGCTTCAGTAGAGTCTGTGTTGATTGAGACGCTGTCTGGAAAACGGGAACACGCACCTAATGGCATCCAACCCTTATACTCCCCATGCTTGCTGTCTAACAGCAAGTACAGCCAGCATGAGAGCAGAGAGACATTGCTTTGTTCCTTCTCTGTTCTGCCTTTGGTGCTCCCCATGACATCTCTTTAAGGAGCAAAGATTCTGGGGTGTATTATCACAACAAACATGCATGCCATCTGTCGTGCTGGTTTTGTGTGTCAATTTGACACAAACTAAAATCAGAGAGGAAGGAGCCTCCTCAGCTGAGGAAATGCCTCCATGAGATCCAGCTGTAAGGAATTTTCTTAATTAATAATCAATTTGGGAGGGCCCAGTCCATGGTGCATAGTATCACCGCAGGGCTGGTGGTCCTGGTTTTATGAGAAAGCCAAAGGATGCAAGCCAGTAAGCAGCATCCCTCCCTGCCTCTATATCAGCTCCCACCTCCAGGATCCTGCCCTGTTTGAGTTCCTGTCCTGACTTCCTTCAGTAAGAAACAGATATGTGGAAGTGTAAGCCAAATAAACCCTTTCATCCTTGACTTGTTTTTTTGGTCACGGTGTTGAGTTGCAGTGATAGAAACCTTAACCAAGACACCATTCATTCCTTACACCAGTCCAGGATGTTCCTGGAAACATCCTCATAAAAAATGGAGAAGGTACCAGGCAGTGGGTACACACACCTTTAATACCAGCACTCAGGGGGCAGGGGCAGGCAGATCTGAGTTTGAGGCCAGCCTGGTCTACAGAGCAAGTTCCGGGACAGCCAGGCCTATTACACAGAGAAACCCTGTCTTGAAGAAACCACCAAGAAAGGGGGAGGGGAGAATAGGAGGAAGTTGAGTGTACACCTGGGATGCTCTAGGCTGCAATAGCTAACAATCTCTGGTCCAGCCCAGCTTACTTACCGAGAGTGGGAGACAAAGTCATACACGGGTATCTGGACTGTTTTTCCTTCCGTGATTTCTTTGAGTGTTTTGAAGATGAGTTCATTGTCAAAGGCATCTGAAGGAAATCAAACTATTAAAAAAAACAGCTCTTGGTTTTAAACTAATCTGTTGTAAAATCACAACAAACTTCACACCCAAAACACACTGCCCCTCCAAAGCAAGCCAATGTTCAGCCGTGGTGGAATACAAATACTCCCTGGATCTTAAAACAGGGTGTGTGTGTGTGTGTGAGTAAGTTCTGGCAAACTAATCTGGTGTTCGGTTTTCTACTGACATTCTATACCTGGTGTTGAAACACAGCCCCCATCTCTCCTCAAAGGTCAGTTGGCACATGCTAGGCATGGGTCCCATGCCAAGAAGAGTTGACTGCCAACTACGAGAAACCTAAACCATCTGAAGGAGCGACATGTTAATCTGGGATATCAGCAAAACCCACTTAGGGGGCCACCATAAGACATCCCCACTTCCCTCCTTGATGGCCACCAAGCAGAACACATGGGCCAAATGCACACACATGTGATAATGATAGTGCGTGGGTGGTGGTACAGGCTGCCACACACTGGAAGGCAAACGGATCAGCTGCATGTATTTCTGGGGCTGGTCCATCTCTGCACAAGCTTGCACGGTTCACCTTCATTCAATACAACTTCAATCAGTTCTCTGCAAAGTGTTCCAAAATCCATTCTCTCCTGTAAGCCCATTGACAACCATGCAAGGTAGTCATTAGGCCCTACGTTGTAGACAGAACAGACTGGGAGAAGCTAAGTCCTTCCTCATGAATACAACCACGACCCACTCTGCCTTCAACACATACATCTCTCAACTCCCAACTCACCCGGGTGATCAAAGTTGAACTGGCCCTTTAGGGCTTTGGCCTTCTGCTCTGAAGTGAGGACTCGGTAGAAGCTATCCTGACTCAGGATGACCACCTGCTTCTGGTGGTAATCCACCTCATTCTGCCCCAGGAGCTGCACAATCTTGGCACAAACGGAAGACTATAAGGAGAGAAGACATGGGGGATAAGAGAAGGTATGTGGAAGTATACTGGGACAAAGGAGGACGCTCTAGGCCTCCCTATAAAGGAGCTGAGGGAAGCCAGCAGCTCAGGCAATACCTGGCCAATTAAAAGGCTAAGGGAAGATCAGCCTGCTAAGAATCCCAAAGTCCTCAGCATACAACTACTATGGGTACTTGGGCAGGCAATGCGCTGCCTCCCCGCCCTGAAAGCCAGTGAATGAAAATGGAATGTCAAGTATCAATCCGCCTTCTTGTTCCCTTGTATAGAAACACACAAAGATACCAGAAGGTGAAACTAATACTCTGCTGATGGACCAAAGGAATAAAAAATGACTACATAAGCACAGGGCACTCAGTTATGGCATCTCCATTAGTGCAAAGAAGAGCCATAGCAAAGGCTGGAGAGATAGCTCAGTGGTTAGTGCTTGCTGCTTTTGAGGGGACAGAGTTTGATCACAGCACAACCACCCGTATCTCCAAAGCCTGGTACAGCAACAGCCTCTTCTGGCTTTCATACAAATGCAGATACAAACATGTGCATATAAATAAAAAGATAATCTTCAAATCCAAATCACTCCAAAAGCAGAGGACAAGATGGCTCAGTGGGTAAAGGTGCTGGCCACCAAGCCTGATAATATGTGGTGCACACATGTAGACCGGTGTGGCAGAAAGAATGGACTTCCACAAGTTGTCCACTGACCTCCACACACATGTATACAACACCATGCACTAAAGACTTTTAGCCGGGCGTTGGTGGCGTACGCCTTTAATCCCAGCACTCTCTGAATTTGAAGGTAGCCTGGTCTGCAGAGTGAATCACAGGACAGCCATGGCAACAGAGAAGCCCTGTCTAGGGGGGGTTTCAGCATGTATACAGAGTTACTGGGCCCAAGTTTGTTCTTGAACCCATCTTATAAACCTTGCCATCTGATTTTAACAGCAACAGAACACTCATACCAAAACATAAAGTCACAATTCTCATAAAGTTGCTTGATTTATCTGATCAAGAGATCAGTGGCCACTCTTGTTGCCCTAATCTGACCTATCAGACTGTTCTGCAAAGCACCGTGTGGCGTGATCACTGTGTGGCGTGTTCATCACACAACCCAGTAGTAAATCCCTGAAGGAGGAACAATAGTTAGATGCAGTTCTTTTTCAAATACGGTTTTTCCTTTTGCGACACTTTTACAATAATTTTTACAAAAATTTTTAAAATAATTGGACTTTGAGGGTAGAGATTGGCTCCTTGACATGTTCTCCCACCCCCGAAGAGAAGCTATCAAACAGAGGAAGGTAAGGTTTGCAGCTCTCTAATCCAAGACTGGAAACCACAACAAAATGTAAGCACATGCTCAACATCTGTAGGCTTGGCATATCCTTTTCCTAACCAGCATCTCACGCTTACACATCTGTAGGCTTGGAATATCCTTTTCCTAACCAGCATCTCACGCTTACACATCTGTAGGCTTGGAATATCCTTTCCCTAACCAGCATCTCACGCTTACACATCTGTAGGCTTGGAATATCCTTTCCCTAACCAGCATCTCACGCTTACACATCTGTAGGCTTGGAATATCCTTTCCCTAACCAGCATCTCACGCTTACACATCTGTAGGCTTGGAATATCCTTTCCCTAACCAGCATCTCACGCTTACATTCCGCGGTGGTGAGAGCAGGCTGCACCTGTAGCCTTTTCTGGCACACAGAACTCTTTCATGAAGCCATGTGTGTTTATATTACCTGTATGCTTTTAGAAACATTTTAGTCTATTTAAAGTATTTTTGATCCATACCACCACTGCCACACCGCCACTGTCAAAAAATATAAAGTTAGTTGGCCTGACAAGAAACAATTTGCCCACATGCCTCTCTGGTGGAGGGCATTTTCCAATCTGTTCCAAATGACTCTAGCTTATGTCAAGTTGACATAAAACTGGCCAGCGCATCTTTAAAAAAAAAAAAAAAAGTTAAGATGGAGGCTGAAGTATAAAATAGTGACAGAAAGCTTGCCTGGCATACTGAGGTCTTTGCCCAATCCTGAGCACTGCACACATAAATAAGAAAAGGTAAGTATACAATGGTAAATACTATAACATCTACATCAAATTAATGATAATCACTAGCTGGGTATGGTAGTAGCACTTGGGAAGCTGGCAGGAGAAACAAGAGTAGCATGGTTACACAGTAAGACTCTGCTTCAAAAGAACCAATAACTATTATTTTACTGACAAACAACTAGGTTCCACCCTTTTAACATGACTTTATTCTGGTTATTATAACCTTACATTAATAGAAACCACTAGTCTGGCCGGGCGTTGGTGGCGCACGCCTTTAATCCCAGCACTCAGGAGGCAGAGGCAGGCGGGAGGCAGAGGCAGGCGGGAGGCAGAGGCAGGCGGGAGGCAGAGGCAGGCGGATCTCTGTGAGTTCGAGGCCAGGCTAGACCGACAGCCTCCAAAACAGAGAAACCCTGTCTCGTTAAAAAAAAAAAAAAAAAAAAGAAAGAAACCACTAGTCTGAAGGTGACAGGATTCTAAGCCCAGTCACAAACAGGGTCCCTCTCTAACAGACACCTGGTAACTGCTCACAATGATCTAAGTAACATAGCCTGGGGGAGCTTGGGCACAGCCTAGCTTTGCTCTCCCTCCTTGGCTTGGTTGCTTTTGTTTTTCAACAGAGTATCTCTGTACATCCCTGGCTGTCCTGGAACTCCCTCTGTAGACCAGAGTGGTCTTGAAGGAGATCTGCCTACCTCTGCCTCCTAAGCGCTGGGATTAAAGGGGTATGCCACACGCCCCGTGTATCTCCACCCTTATCACAGGGTCACCAAAACAATTATCCTCTTGGCACGTTCCACACTGAATGTGGGACAAGAGGGGACTAGAGACGTGGCTCAGCAGTTAAAAGTACCTGCTGCTCTTGAGTCCGGCAGTGGTCTGGGGCCAGCCTCGTTTGCAGAGTGAGTTCCAGGACAGCCAGGGCTACATAGAAAAAGCCTGTTGGGGGGGAGGGGTACTTGCTGCTCTTGCAGAGGATGCCGGTTCAATTCCCAGAATCCACATGGTAATTCAAACTATCATCTGTAACTCTAGTTCCAGGGTATCTGACACCATCTGACCCCCCCTGGGCATCAGACATACACGTAGGTAAATCATTCATAAATCTTAAAATTATTTTGAAATTTTTAAAAATAAGTAGGGGAGGCCTACTGCAACTGTGAGCTATTATCTAAATACAACCAAATACATGCCCTTCTCAGTGTCCAGCTGACCTTAAGCTTATTATGCTCACACACACAATCTTCATCACTTCGGAACTCAAGTGGGTTTGCGGTCGGCTCCAATATTCTCCACAAGTTTCTTCCAATCGCAGCCCACGGGAGACACAGAACACTGGACAGTGTCCAGCCCTACTGCATCCTTAACTCGCTGTTTGTGTCCGTGAAAAGCACGTACACAAGAATTCTAGAAATGTCTATATTCAGAAAAGTCCAGCTGTTGGGGGCCAGTAACTATAGGCTGAGTGCACCAGGTGTGCTCAACAATGGCTCCTTTCTCAGAGACACTCACACAGTTAAAGTCACCAGGGCCTTCCGGCTGGCAGCTCCTAAAAGGGCAGCTGCTGAGCCTGCTGCAGTTTCTGGCCTAAAGAAAGGCTTTTTCTCTAAAACCTTCCTCACACAAGAGACAGTTCACACAGCCCAGACACCATCTGGCTATTCTATTTCTAGCAGCGTGTCTTGTGCGAGCTAATCCTTAGGATGCCCTGGCCAGTTCCAATACTGCTGAGGGAGCAGAGCACTGAAGACTGTTCTGCCTCTTGCCATTCACCCTCCAACCCCCAGGATGTACAGGCTCTGGTCAAGGCCAGGCCTGGAGAACTCTGGAGGCCCCACCCCTTGGGGACAGAAGGCCAGGGGGTGTCCCTTGAGGAATGGGGTGGCAATTCTCACCAGCAGCCTCACAGAGACATCCTGGCTAAGGGCCTCTTCCCTGCAAGCAACAATCCCATTGAGTTGCCTGTCATTCTGGGGAACCTACTTCAGAATCAGGGAGGGAAGCCTGGAAACCAGTCAGCCAGGCTTAAAGGAGCCAATCAGCAGGCATGCAGATTCATCACTTCCTTCCCCTCAGTTAACACTTGCCCTGAACTCAAGTGACCTCATCAGCTGGTGGTGGGAACAGGTCAGGCATCTGCCCCTTTGCTCTGGTACTGTAAGTCATACCAATTACTTCCCCTGCTACTATCATTACTAAGTTCTATGGTGTCCATCCCAAGAAGATAACATCATGGCCCCCAGATATTACATCACTCCTTTGGGGCCAGGGGTGTTCCCCACACAACACAGAGGCTCTAATTTACATCAAAAGGTCCATAATTTGCCCTGGTCACAACTGAGAACAGAGTAAAAATCTTATTGATTTGAAGAGGAGCAAACCAACCCTGTTTTGCAGAGAGGTGTCGCTCAAATGCTTCCCTGGAGTAGCTGAAAGCCATCTAGTATTGGAGTGGGGGTCTAAAACCACACATTGCTAAGCAGGCAAACTACAAAGCACACCAACTATAAGGCATGCACACAATCTCAACGAGAAACTCACTAAGCTGCTGCTAAAGTATAAGGGTCTCCAATACCCCAAAGAAGCCATAGGTCATTCCAACAACCCAAGAATTCCGGGAGCCCAAAGACTAGCTGTGTCTTGGCTTTTAAATCCCCAGGGACTGACAGGCAGGGCTTTGGCACAACAGAAGTCCTCCCTCTCTTTAAACCTAATGTCTCTGAAGCATACACTGCTCCTTTTTAGTGTCAGCCTTGATTTAGATTATTCTCTTTCTAGATTCCATCCTAATAGATACAAAACACTTAAATACTTCATAGAGATGGTTCCCTGTGTGTTCTGAATCTCAAGCCCTGAGCATTATAGACACTGATATTCTCTACCCTTCCTTGCAGTCTGCCATCATGCCAATGTCTGGTCACT